TTAAAATTTACCCCGTTGCTATAGTGGCGCCACCCTTATAGGTTAGGTTAGGTTTTTATGGACACTTTTTAATACACAGTCTGTACTCCTTACTTCTACACTCCATACCATGGTAGTTAAAGAACAGGAGAACGATCGCTACGTAATAAAGTAAAGCCCGCTTGTTCTTGAAAATTGTAGAATTTATAGCGGCGCTGACGTCGGTGAGTAGTGACTGTGAAGTTAGCTGTTTATGAGTACAAGTAGATGAAGTTAGTTGAATAATGACAACAAATTTTCTTCGCAGCATTGGTAAGAAAATTTTCATGCTCCGTAATTTAGTAACTTTTGACAAAAAGAAACATTAAAAAATGGGGAAATATTTTATTGAGCGTGGATGTGCAAGTGGTTTACCATCTGATCAGAAAAATAGACTGAAAATGACTTTTATTGAGCGAACTTAGCAATCGCAGCGCCTCACTGAGTACAAGTAGATGAAGTTAGTTGAATAATGACAACAAATTTTCTTCGCAGCATTGGTGAGAAAATTTTCATGCTCCGTGATTTAGTAATTTTTGACGAAAAGAAACATTAAAAATGGGGAAATATTTTATTCAGCGTGGATGTGCAAGTGGTTTAGCATCTGATCGGAAAAATAGACTGAAAATAACTTTTATTGAGCGAACTTAGCGATCGCAGCGCCTCACTTATGGTGTCCATATTTCTAGGACACTATTTTCTACGGCGGTCGTTCTCCTGTTTTCTAACCTTCATGGTAGCTTGCATAACTGATACATCCACGCACAGTAAAATATTTCTCTATTTTTTAATGTTTCTTTGTGTCAAAAATTTTAAAATTACGAAGCATGAAAATTTTCTCACTAATGCCGCGAAGAAAATTTGTACATTATTCAACTAACTTCATATAGTTGTACTCATAAAAAGCTAACTTCGCAGCCACTACTCACCGACGGTAGCGCCGCTATAAATTCTACAAATTTTCAAGGACAGGCGGGCTATGCTACGTACTAAACGTAGCGATTGTTCTCCTGTTCTCTAACCTCCATGGTTGATAGCATGGAGTATAGAGGTAAGGAGGACAATCTCCCATAGGAGAATAGTCGAAAATGTATCCATCCGTAAGCAGTAAATAACAGCTCAAAAACTACACATTGAAATAATACTAGTTTTTACGGATTTTATCACTTATATTTAACTATAAATACCCGACGTTTCGAGCGCTTTACAGCACCCATGGTCACGGGGAGGACTGAGATCGTAGACAGAGAATCCTATAGACAAAGTGATATCTTTTGTCGCAGTCACACAAGAGAAAGAGCAACTTACGCCGATGTCGTGTAAAGAAATGAGAAAGAACGATGAGGTTTTTTGTTTGGCTGAGCGTGTCGCTTTTTTCAATATTTATCAAAGTACTTTGGTAAACAAAGTTTGACAGCTAACGTGTAGCGAGGTAAATTCTTTGTATAAAACACTGTTTTAAGTGTTTTATGTTAAGTATTTCATATTATATTTTGTTGTGAACAATTTAGACGTAGTATTCCAACAATTTTTATTTAAAACATGGTGCGGTGTAGTGTTTTAGGGTGTAAAAGTATTAGTGGAAGGAAAATGTCGGGATTGTCTTTTCATTCGTAAGTATACCACTCTATCGGTTACTAGGCATTCTGTAACATTTCATAAAATGCATATATTGTGTATAATGTATTCTAGACGTAAATTTATCGTTAAAAAAGTACAAAAATAACAATTTCAAATTTTAACCTAAAATCTTCGGTGTGGCCAACTTTTCTAAACTATTACCCACTATTATAGGAAATGATAATATCTGCATACCGGAGGTATATTATCCTAAGTCCATTTTTTCGACATTCACTTTCTAATGTCATTGAAACAAACAAGTAACGATCTACTTAGTGGTATAATATTTTAAGTCCAACTAAATAAACTAGGTACAAACTTTCGAAATCGGTAACATGTTTTAAGTCCAGATTAATTCAAAGGTATACAATCTCATCTGGACTTATGCTTTTGTGCCGCTCAATTATCAAAAATGAAAGCATCCTAGGTCCAAATAAAATGAGAAGTTTGTTTTTGAACATAAATTGCACTTTATTATTTATATTTATTTATTGTATTATGTAAATTGTGCATTTAGCTGCGATTGAAGAGGGTGTTCCAAGCACATCTCATGATGTACCAAATTCTATATGCCAGAATAATTTACAACAAATTCATAATAATCTACCAAAAAAATAAAGGTACAATAGAGCAGACAGGAAAAAAGCGAATAAGAAATGATCTTAATCTTACTTCTGCAAAAGTGGTAAAACAGTAACTTGCAAAAGAATGAAACCTGCATGTAGCACGAATTGCCACATGAAATGCAGTACTAAAATATCCGAGCAGAATAAGGAAGAGATATTTACAAAAGTCAAACAGTCAAAACCTACAACAAGATAAAGACAGATCAGGAGATGAATCTAAGTTAGGATCAAATACTTTAGTTTATTCTTTTGTTGTTAATTTTCAAAGGTAATTTGATTCCACATTTAATTAAGTGGAATATAGGAACAGGCAATAATATCCACACAGAAAAATCATATAGTGATATTGCACCATATTAAAAGCACATGTAAGTAAGTACTTATTAATCTTATAATATGTATTAATATATACTCATTTATCTATTATTTATGCAAACTTCTATTTACGGATCTCCTTCACCAAGGCATAGAATAAATAATATGTAGTGCTACTCGTACGTTACCAAGGTTTGCCTGAAAGAGATCACCGCTAAGCGATGAGGTCACCTTCATCATCATCATCATTACAGCCCTTCACAAGTCCACTGCTGAACATAGGCCTCGCTCAAGTAATGCCACAAAGCACGGTCCTGAGCCACCTGCATCCATCGACTTCCTGCATATCTTACCAGGTCGTCACTCCATCTAGTGGGGGATCGCCCTACACTACGCCTACCGGTACGAGGTTGCCACTCTAGAACCTTTCTTCCCCATCGGTTATCGGTTCTTCGAGCTATATGGCCGGCCCATTGCCACTTCAGCTTACTAATCCGTTGGGCTATGCCGGTCAATCCGTCACATGAGGTCACCTAATTGTACATAAATTTATATTTTGTGTGCAGTAAAGTGATTCATTCATGCGTTGCGAAATGGTAAGTAAAATAGGTAAGGTATTCTGACTGATCGAATGAACATATTTTTGCTACTATGCGAATTCTGTGCCTAACGCATGTAACATGCAAGTTCACTCGTTGCGAATCGCGATTTAATAAATCGCTCGAAAGAAATGTAGGTAGTGTAACAACAAATGAACCTAAAATAAATGTGATTGTATTCTAATTAGTTAAAAATCTTGTGAACAAAGTTTTAATTTCAGTGCTTTGTGATAACTTAAAATATTTTAATTACAAAAGACATGTAAGTTGCCTACTTCAATTTACCTAAGTAAATTTCATATGTTATCTACGTAAATTTCAACTAAGTTTTGTAATAAAGGACTTAGGTATTACTTCTGAATTTAAATTATTACTTAATTCTTTTTGCTATTATAATTTATTTGACAAAAAAATGAAATTAATATACCTTTTATTATCCTCAGGTAAGTTAAAAAATGATATATCTGAATCCTTTTGTTTGCTTATTATTCATCCATCTACGCAACAATTATAGTAGGTTCGAAGTTTTGCCATACACATATACTATTTTTAAATCACATAAATTTTTTTGAACTATTTTATCTTACAATTAAATACTAAACGCTAAAAAAATTACAAGTGTTTACAAAAAACTATTTACGTAAACAGCGATAAAAATACATCAATCGCCTACTTACAATGCGCTAGCCCCGACTGCGTATTACACCCAAATTCACCCAAATCGCGATTTTAAGTAATAATTTCACGCAGGTAGCAAGAGTGACAGAGGGCTGGTAACAGTTAGTTCAGTATTTTCTTTCTTCAAGATTTAAATACAACCTAAATCAATACAGTCCACTTAGCTCTCATTCATTTACACAATAGTTTCTTTAAGTTTATTAGTCAGATAGATATCACAAATTTTTAGTTTCTTTTTTCTTCACCAAAGTAAATTATAATAAATAATTAGTCAAATACAGTCCACTTAGCTCTCCATCAACTACAATACATACCAATGATAATCGTTAATAGCAGTGTTCCCTTTCAGGCTTACTTCACGTACTAATTTCTAATTTTATAGCTAGTTGTGGGGGCAAATTTTTCCTCACACTTGTAACCCTAAATATAGTGACGTATTTTTTGTCTCTTTCTGCGACACGCTATGGCGGTGTGTATAGGATTCTCTGTCTATGATTAGATGTTCAACTTCCAAATGTCATAGTTAACAGAGGTTACCATAGATAAAAATTTAACTTTTGTGTAGATCGGAACCATGAAGTTATAGATAAGGATGGAGACCAAACTCCGAATACCTATTTGAAGCTTAACCTATGTATTACTATCTCGCTCTCTGTGGGCAGACCCTCTCTTTCTAAGTAGGTAACCTTTATTTTATTAATCTACATCTCTGTTTACGATCTGTGTAAGATCTAGCCTATATAGATAATATATTTTTGTACAATTTTTGGGAATTGACTGGTTTTATGAAGAAAGGTTTTCATTTCCATGGACAGAACCGGTATTTAAAATATGACCACGCATTTCCGTTACAACCCATATAATGCCGAGCCTATTTAGAAAATGTGGAAAATAAATATATCAGAGAATATTTTATAACTACCATTTCGATAATGTATTTTCTAGTTATTGTATCCAATCCTAAATGGTACCAACGAAATATAAAATTAAAATTTATTATAACATCCCGGGTATTCCATGAATTGGGCAAAATATACCTGATTTATTGTTCAGACACAATAAATCTATTTTTGGACAATTATTTAAAAAAAATATCACGAAGACTAAAAGAGCTTAGCGGAGCTCCTGCCTTAGACATCTGACCTTACCCATCAGAGTCGGGTCTGCTCTGAGCTGAAATGTTACAAACAATACTATATTCCACACATCCTGTTCATTTTAAGAATTATCTACAATTCCTAGGAATTCTATATAATGACGGATTTCATAGATATTTAGTAACATAATATGTACTATAATAGGAACGGTAATATGTAAAAAACCTCAAAAAATAAATAAAAAATGTTCCATATTATAATCATTTATTGAAAATTGTCTACCTTCTGTGTACTAAATATCGGGAATTTGTCAATAAAACAAAAAATACAAATTATTCATCTAAATTTATTTTATCGCCTTCAAAGTAGGCCCCATCGCTTGCAATACAACATCTCCAACGCTTCACTCAGTCTTCCATACATTTTTCATAGGCTATTTGCGGTATGGCCTTTAGCTCATTCAGCGAATTATTTGTTATGGCTTATATCGACTCAAAACGTTTTCCTCGAAGTGGTAATTTTAACTTGGGAAATAAAAAAAGTCAGACGGAGCCATATCAGGTGAATACGGTGCTTGGTCGAGAACTTTTGTTGAATTTTTGGCTAAAAACTCTTTCACTATAATGGCTGTGTGTGATGGTGCATTATCGTGGTGCAGCATCCATGAGTTGTGTTGCCACAAATCTGGACGTTTTCGGCGGATACTCTCACGCAAACGCTTCATGACGCCTAAATAATATTCTTTATTCACTGTTTCTCCCTTTGGAAGGAATTCGGAGTGAACCACACCACGGTAGTCAAAAAAAAAACTGTCAGCATCACCTTGATTTTGGAGCGACTTTGCCGCGGTTTTTTGGGTTTCGGCTCGTTTTCGAGACGCCATTCTGAAGACTGTTGGCTTGTTTGCATGTCGTACTCATAAACCCATGTCTCGTTGCCAGTTATTATACGTTTCATAAAGGTCGGATCCGTAGAAGCTCGCGAAACCATGTCTTCAGCGACATGCTTTCGCTGCGCTCTTTGAACAAAATTGAACTCTTTTGGAACTAGTCGAGCGGCGACGCGTTTCATGCCTAAAATGTCAATGAGAATGTTGTGGACGGACTTAAAAGATATGTTCACCTCACTAGCCAACTCTCTCAGACTCATACGTCGATTTTCGAGCACTAGATTTTTGATTTTGTCGATGTTTTCTTTGGTCGTAGCGGTTGAAGGTCTACCAGAACGAGCCAAGTCTACTACTACTTCTCGGCCTTCTTTAAAAGCCTTATACCATTCATAAGCCCTTGTTTTCGATATACACGATTCGCCGTAGGTATTTCGCAATATTTTTAGTGATTCACCACATGAAATATCATTCGAAACACAAAATTTAAGGCACACTCTTTGTTCAACAATATTTTCCATTGTAAAAATCGCCGAGAACTCAAAACTATGACCAACAAAAAGTGTAGTTTAAAACAAATTAAATGACAGATCCCGCTCAAACTTTGCGCGCTAAATCAGTACTGTGCTACCAACATGCAGTAAAAAAATTAGAACGACCTCATTTACGCGGGTCTTTTTATTGACATATTCCCGATACTTTTTACACAGAGTAGTATTATACACATTGATATATTAAAAGGGGAAGATAGGTCACTAAATCAAAGCGCCTGGTCCTACGAAACTACGGGATTGCCCGTACTTGGCTCGTAGTGACACTCAGTCGCGCGCGAAACGTCGTTGATCATACAGCTCTTTAATTTCAGTTCTTTTGGTATTAAATACGCACTAAAATGACATCTTGTGCAGCTAAACAGTGTGCTAATAATTCAAGAAAGAAAAATAAGATACACGGGATTACTTACCACTCGTAAGTATAGCTAAAATTCTATTTTGTTGAAAATTATGGTAATATTTATTGTTTGTAAGAGCGAGATAGATAATAAAAACATGCGTGAGAACGTGTTTCTATACGCACGCGATGCCCGATTTGCGCGCCTCGATCTACTAGACCGAGGTTACGTAAGGTTAGCAACACAAATTTCTTTGATTAAACATTGATATTTTTTTAAATACCAACCGTGGTTATTTAATTAACTTATTCCAAAATTTGTATTTACCAAGACAAAATAGTGTTGTGTGTTTAGTAACTGTTAGTAAGTGTAATTATATTTTATAATTTTACTTATTTATTTATGCTAATATGCCACCATATTAGCATAAATAAATAAGTAGTAAGTTGGTATCCATATTGTAGGCCCTATCGCAAAATTTCCAAAATATAAAACGTTCAACCAATTCATAAAATGGTGACATTTAATGGACATTTTTATTATTCAGGTTACCTAAAGATGAATTAAGGAGACAAAAGTGGCTTGTTGTTATCCGAAAACAAAGACAGGAACCTGATTGGAAACCTACAATACATAGTCGATTATGCTCAACACATTTCAAATCAGAAGATGTATATGCAACCAGCAAAGGGTTAAAAAGGATATCAGCAGGGGCTGTACCTTACTTTCAGGTACGTGTGAATCTAACAGTAATCAACAGTTAAGGGGTTCTATTAACGTATGGAAATTTGTCGATAACCTACTAAGGATCAGTTCAAATTACTGTTTTTTTTTTGTTTTAGGCGGCTATGAATTATGATCATTATAGTTCGAAACCCGGCTCACCAAACTCCCTACATGACGTAAATATTTCTGATATGGATTCAATTTTTGATACACCACGTAAAGCATTTTTTAAATCAAAAGTTAGAAAAATAACATTTGATATAAAGAAAATTGTGAAAGAAAATAAAAATTTGAAGAGAAAAAATAAAAGACTCGAGGAACGGTGTAAATCACTTAAGGAAATAATGATTAAATTAAAAAAAAGACCTCAATGTTCCTGAAGATCAATTTCAGGATTTGTGTGTAAAGGCGGAAGCGGCTGATTTTTTTTCAAGAATTAATAAGCAAAGAAAGCGCAGAAAAAACATAAGGATAAAATTTAGCCCACCTTTACGTAAGTTTGCCCTGACTCTAAATTTTTACTCTCCGGCGGGATACAAATACGTGCGAAAAGTTTTTGAAAACGCCTTACCTCACCCTCGAACGCTAGGAAAATGGTATGAAAATTTAAATGCAGAGCCAGGATTTACTGTTGAAGCTTTCGAGGTTCTTAAAAATAAAAAAATCCGGTTCCCAAAAAAACATTTATTGTACATTAGTTGTGGATGAAATGGCCATTCGACAGCAAACCGTTTGGAATGGTAGAAAAACTTCAGGTTTAGTCAATTACGGAACTGGAGGCTTAGACGTCGACAGGGTTGCTTCACAAGCATTTGTGATGATGCTTGTTTGTCTAGACGAGAACTGGAAACTATCTGTCGGATATTTTTTCGTTGACGGACTCACATCTGAGACTAAGTCAAACTTAATTAAAATTTGTTTAACAAAGTGCTGGGAGATAGGCGTTAATGTAGTTGCATTAACGTTTGACGGTTGTTCGTCTAATGTTAATGCCGCTAATCTATTAGGTTGTAATCTTAATAATGTCGTGAACTTAAAAACAACCTTCAAACACCCATCATGTAACATGGATGTTGCTGTTTTTTTAGGTCCATGTCACATGATAAAACTTGAAAGAAACACATTCGAGTCCAAAAGAATGTTTTTTGACCATGAGAATCGAGAAGTAAAGTGGCAATTTCTAATAAATTTATTAAAACTACAAAGCAGTGAAACGCTTACTTTTGCAAATAAATTAACACCAAAGCATATCGACTTCCGTAATCAAATAATGAAAGTAAAGCTCGCTACCCAGCTCCTCAGTCGAAGTGTAGCACACGCATTAAGACTGTGTGAACAATTACTTTCCTCAACACGCTTTGTTAACACAGGAACTACAGTACAGTTTATTGAAAAGTTTAACCATCTATTCGATATCATGAATTCACGAAATCGTGAACGCTATGTTGAGATTAATGAAAATGAGATGAACTAAGTACTTGCGCAGCAAGCCTAACATTCATTTTTTTGTTTTTAAAATCTACATGTAAAGTGCTTAATTTATTAGCAAATTTTAACCCCTCCTTGCTTTGTATTTCATGTAATTTTCGGATATACTTAAACGAAATATAGCCGGTATTTGACTTCATTTCAAAATCGGCCAAAACATTTCTAGCGAGTTTTAACATATGTGCAGCGTCAAGCAGACAATATATATTGCTCTTCCCGTTTGGATGTCGAAAGTATTTGTAATATATATATATATATAATATTCCAATACTTCAGAGAGGAAACCAACATTACAGTTAAATAAAGATAAAAATCTTCGTATAGTTTCTACATGAGGTAAAGTTATATATTTTCTTAAGAACTCGTAAGCCTTAGGTGAATAGAAATTCAAAGTTAAAGCAAAAGCTTTCACTTCTTCACTATATCGAACACCATGTGGATTACTCTGTGGCTTTTTGAAATCCTTACAGATATCAGCAAAGCGCCCTTGAATAATATTTTCAATTTCTGACTGACCCGTATACTTTTTAATAGTTGCAATTAAAGAAGTTTTAGTTTGGCGCGCCACTTTTTGCTTAAGAATCTTAGTTTTCTTCTCAAGTATTTCTTCTTCACTAGACTTTATTTTCACTTGCACGCCCCTCTCTATCTTCGCGGGATCGTCGTCTTCACTGCTGACCTATGAAAACAAGAAAACTTTGTGAAATCGGTAATTTTAGCATCGTATTGCTCCGCTCATAAGGGTCGTAGTGTGATGTTAGATAATCTTCCTGAAGAATTGGTTTTAAAAATGCAAAAATATATTTTCAAATCTGACTGGTATAGTTCCGGAGATTAGAGAACTCAAACAAACAAAAAAAGAATCAAATAACTCTTCTACATCAAAATGTCAGTACAAATTTACATCACGTAATAGGTTATTAGACCATTAGTAGACAGAAAGGATACTTCGGAGCGCGCCTTCATGAGCACGCATAAATGAAGCATCAAACAAGAAGCTTCATGCTTAGTGTCGTAGTGACGGTTACCACACTGCGATTACTAAAGAGGTTGTCATGGTACATTTGTTTTTTGACAAAAGAAATCTATTTTTTATAATAAATTTTGATGTGAAAAATATGCAAAACGCTAGTTTTCGGCCCCAAATTTTAGATTTCGGCCTACAAGAATTTTAGTTTTCGGCCACTGTATTAGAAGAGGTACTATAAACTTAAAAGTGTTTTTGTAAAATCAGAAAATGGCAAAACGGTTTGGGAAATCGGTGTATTTACTTTTCTCAATCGGTGATTGCGATTTTTTAACCGTGACGTTATTTTTTTCTTTTTGGGTGTGTTTTTGATATAAAATAATAACCATGATTAATTATTTCTCTTTGAATCATAATCTAATAATAAAATCTTTTAAATATAGCAATCAAATATTCTCATTTACGAGTATTTTGTACTTCCTCATAAGTATTTTAGTTTAACAAAATCTGTTACCATATCTTATAAATATATAATAAATAAAATATAACTAATAATAAATAAATCTGAAAAAAAAAATTCTTTTTGAATCTTCTTCCTAAAACGCAATGTGAATAAAATATTTGATATGATAAGATGAAATGGCCGTAAACGTAAACTAAGACAGCATTCCATTTTCCGCCGCCGTATTCTTTCATACAATTTTAAGTTGGCCGAAAACTAAATTGTATATATTTTAGAGTCAATCCAGTTTTCGGCCACGACTGAAATGGGTATTTTGTTTCATCACTAACTGTTCAAATTGCAGTACTTGGTGGCCGAAAACTGAAAGTTAGTGTCTACGCACGCTACGATTCAATATAAGTAAGAAAGATGAGTTATTAAGTTAAGTAATTATATTAAATACAGCACGAGACTTACTTTTGAATGGAACGCTCGCCACTATTTTTTTGCTCGATCTTACCCGTTTTGATAGCTTCAGTGTCGGCGTCAAACTAAACTATTTATTATAAATCGCGTGTTGTGTTTACCTGATTAATTAATGCTACCAGATATAGTGAAACTATTTACAAATGCATTAAACTGTATTTCTTACGATAATATTTATTAAAATTGTTATTAAATCAAATTTACTGCATTAGCTCGTGCCAAAGGCCGAAATCTAGACCCGGCCGGCTTACCGGCGCATCGACCCTATATAATATATTATGTAATGTAATATAAAAGTCATAATAAATACAAATAAAAGGTATGTATTTAGTAATAAAGGAAAAGGAAACTTACAGGTAACTTGTTAAGATTGCATACATTTTCAAGAATTTTTCGACATTGTTTTTTACTAGTTTGGTCTTCAATATTACAGGCAGTACGTTTTACTTCTGTTTCCTTAAGTGCAGAACTACTTTCATAAACGTCAGAACTAGTGCTTGGTACAGCCAGAGCAGCTATTTGCACAATAGACTCTTCATGTAATGCACTTGTTGTCTGAAAATGATAAGATATTTTACAAAATGAAATAATGAAATAAACTCCACCATTGCCGGTCCCAAGCGCGGATGAGAAAGGAGGAGGGGACGGTTCCGCCGGAGAGAGTGGGTGTATCCGGTGGACTAACACACCCACCTGCGCTAGGACCTGCGCAGTCGAGCGCCGTACGCGGGGATGAAGGAGTCCTGGAGGGTTGAGCCGATCGTCGCTGGGGTATATAGTGGCGAGAGGCAACACGCCCTCTTTGGTCCAGATTTCAAGCTAAACGGTGGCCCTATCTGCTAGCCACAGATAGAAAAGAAAAAGAAGAAAGAATGCATATTTCTTAAGAATAGTCTTGTCTGTGATGATGGCCCGGTCCCAGTAGAGCCTGGCGCGGTCAGTTTCGAGCACGACTTCCGGCAAGTACTTAGTAAGTAATACGGCAATTTCCGGTTCACGAGACCGTATTTCAGAGCGAGCTCCTGGTGTAGAATTCTGGCTACTAGGTTGTGCCTGTGCAAGTACTCAGAGTTAGAAAGCGCCGAACAACCGGAGATGACATGCCTAAGTGACTCACCTGGATGGCCACAAGCTCGACAGACGTCAACGGTGCTATCCTTTAGGATGTATCTCTGATAGTTGTTGGTCTTAATAACCTGATCCTGTATTGCACAGACAAAACCCTCGGTTTCCCTGAAAAGGTCACCGAAACGTAGCCAGTTGAGGGAGGCGACTGTATCTACGAAGGAGTCATGTAGAGCCCTGTAGTACCTCCCGTGGAGCTCCTTCTCCTTCTTCCATACGGTCTCCCGGTCGGAATACTTTGTACTGCCGGGGCCTGTCATTGCTCATTGGCTAAGGATAGAGGGGTAAGCCCTTTATCACTAGAAATGACGTCATTATAGAATGGATCATCCGATCTCGCCAGGAAGTAATTACGGAGGCTACACACTTCGCGAATATGCACGGTGAGCGCGCTCAGGAAGCCACGCCCACCATGCTTTCGCGGCAAGTACAGCCTCATTACCGACGATCTCGGATGATGCATCCTATGGGACGTCATGGTAGTGCGGACTTTTCTATCCAGGGCGTTAAGTTCAGTCTCAGTCCATCTGAGTATGCCAAAGGTAAACATGAGGACAGGCATGACCCAGCCGTTATATGTGTGTGTCTTATTCACACCGGACAAAAGGCAGTTAAGCACTTTAGTCAAGCATAAAACATGTCGCAAACTGACTGTTTCATACCAGCCTCATCGATACCGATGTTCTGTGACATACCCAGGTATCGGTATGTTTCAGCCTCGGAAAGGGTCCTTAAGTTGACGGGCATAGATAAGTCTATGCCCTCAGATTTAGCAACCCTTCCCCTTTCAACATGGAGGACAGCTCACTTATCCGTCCCCAGCTCCATTCTAATAGAATTGCTAAATTCACAAGTGATGTTTAGCAATTCCATAAGATGGGAGCGACTGGAGGCGAATAATTTGAGGTCAGCCATATAGAAAAGGTGGGTCACTTTTGTACCTCCTTTCAGAAGCTGAAATCCCCTCCCGTAGGCCTCGAGTAAAGTACTGAGAGTGTTCAAAGAGAGGCAGAATCAGATTGGACTCAGACAGTCGTCCTGGAATATACCCCTCCTTATCCTTATGAGGCTTTCCGCAGCCGTCATCCGCTCGCCTAGATGACGGAGGATCCGTACTCCACCGCCCCATACACTGCTCGAGGAAGTCTCGAACTGTACAGTCAATCTTGTACAGCTCGAGGACCCTCTTTAGCCATGTATGGGGCACCGAGTCGAATGCCTTTCTGTAGTCTATCCAGGCGGCGGAGAAGTTCCGACGGTTGCGTTTCACCACTTTGCCAATGACCGCGTCAATGAGGAATGGTTCCTTGGTTCCACGACCACCGCCCCGACATCCATTTTGAGAACGCGACATCACCTGATTTAAGTCCAGGTGACGAGTGATTCCCGCGCTTAAAATGGATGTCAGTGTCTTATATATGGTGGATAGACACGTGATGGGGCGGTATTTGCTCGGGTCTGTGGTAACCTGGTCTTTCGGAACCAAATGAATATCAGATCCCAGTAGTGAAGAGGCTAGGGAGCGACTTCTGGTTGAGAGCCTCTTGAAACTGACGGGCGAGCACAGCGTGACACACTACGAACCCTTTCAGCCAGTAATGATGCAGCCCGTCGAGTCTCGGACTTTTCCAGTTCGGGACTCTACGGACCGCCTCAGCCACGTCTTCAGGGGTTATGGTGACGGGGTCCATGGGCGTAATACTCGCACTCTGGCTCGCCACAACTTCCATCAAAGGGCCCTCGCTATGGTTCACGGGCTCTGACCACAGGCCACGCCAAAATGCGACAGTGTCAGCCTGATCCGGTCCTGGGCCCGCTCCACACACCTCTGGTCGCTCCAATGATTTATAGAGCCTCTTCTGATCACTCTGGAAGAGACGATTCTGGTTGAACCGTCTTGACCTCTCGCTAAATCGTCGAATCCGCTTCTCCCAAGCAGCGATTTTTTGCTTCAGTTCATCTATGCGCTCCGTTAGTTTCTGCGTGATATCCGGCTGGGACAAACTGATATTTGTCCCAGCAAACGCCATTCTAACGGTGCGCACTACTCTCGGTCTATTATTACCCGACCTGAAGCTTGTCAGTCTGCCGATAAAGGCCCTTGCTTTTGCGATCCGGTCCTCGATTCTTTTTCTGCAGGCTGGGATGGCGCTACTTTGTTGAGTAGCACGTCCAGCCATGGGAAATTTGGCGCCAATAATACGGCAGACTGTCAGTACGGCGCCAAAAAGAATGGAGTCCGTCTCGCAAAGGTCCCGGCTGGCTTCCAAATAGGTCACCAGCATTGGGTTAAGAGTCCGCACGACAGCCCGATTTCGCTTGCCCCTTAGCAAGCTTTTCTATGTGCTGGGAAGTCGCGGTCGATTTTTGAGAGGCATGCTGCGCGTTTTCAGCATCGACTCTTCCAATATGCTCCTCATTTTCTCTAGTTCGTGGGAGACTATTCCATCATCGTCTGAATTAACTACAAATGGAATATTGACGGCAGCATCCACATATGCAGTTTGCTGCGCATCTAGTGGCGCCTCATTCCCAGCCGTAGCATTTCCATTCGATGAGGGAACAGCCTTACGTCGTAGTCGTTCGAGTTCGGCGTCACCAAATATGTTGGAGCGCAGGATATACCGAACTCGGTGTGCCAGGTTTTGCTCAGTGACGGATAGGATGGCTCCAGCTCTGCAAAAAAGCGATGCATCCGAGCTCGATACGCAAAACCTCCAGTTTCTTCCCCTTTTGCCCTAAAGTACGCCCGCAGTGCGTTTGCGTTCATTAAGTTGTGACCAACGCATGCGGCGTACTCCACCAGCGGCGGGTGCCGATTGCTGGGTCCGCGAAGACCCAGCCGACACCAAGCCTTCTGGTGGGGATGATGGATGCGGGGGGCTGCTAGGTGGTCTTGCAGCACCCCGCGCTCGGCTGGCGGCCCGCAGCGGCCCTTTGCGCGTTCTATTTAATTCCATCATCCATTTTATTATTTTTATTGATTCATTATTATTATTATTTTATTTATAATATTTTACCATTTTGTCAAAAATTACTTCGCAGATACTACTCACCGACGGCAGCGCGGCTATAAATTATACAAATTTTCAGGGATGGGCTATGCTTTAGTACGTAGCGATCGTTCTCCTGTTCTCAAACCTCCATGGTTTCATCATGGATAGTCAGTTCAATTGATTTTTTTTTACCTAATTGAAAATCTTTGTTGATTTCAAGAATCAGCGGATCTCAAAAGGTTTTTTTTTGGTATGTTATTGTTTGTTCTCAGCCATATGACTAATATTTTATTCATCACGAGATCTGATTGATATTCCCTCTGCCCGTTAGGCTGGTGGTGGTGCTGGTGTACGTTTTATTTGGCTTATATATTGTGAGTGCTGGTTTTTGCTTTCTTTTGCAGATGAGTCACAAACGTTTGAATAATTTTGAAATAGAGCATGTCCTTGAAGGCCTGTTTGATTAACCTGACGATCCAGAACAATCTGAGGACGATTTGGAATCGGAAGGTGAAGAAGTTCAGTTTAGTACAACCAGACTTCAGAGCATTTTAGAGATTCTTGACGAGGATACTAGTACTACTGCACCTTTACTAGAGAGCCAGCCTAGCCCACAACCATCTGTGACGGAAACTGACTGTCTCCCTTTGTCAGTAATTCAATAAATTGAAAATATCAGCCCGATTTCAGGATGTTCCGGCCCAAGACGGGCAACTCGACCACGGTCTACCCCACTCAGACCTATTAGTCCTGTCACACGGGCAATCCCAGCTTCAGCCTGATACGAGATCTGAATCTGACACTGATTAATCTGACGCCGACGAAGATTTATGGAAGAAAGTCATGTGGACAAATCGACCAAACCCTGAAATTTTTGACCAAAACCCATTGTACCCAAAACGCCGATTCACAAATAGAACAACACCACAACGCTTTTTTGAGAAGTTCTTTACAAAAGAAATATATGATCATAAAATTTATCAAACAAATCTGTGCGATTCAAGAAAAAATTGTATCTTGGACGCCACTGGAACTCGAAGAGCTAAAGGCCTTTTTAGGTACTTATTATAATAATAATGGGCTACCACATTTTACCACCAATAGAGTTATACTGGTCTTCTAATCCGGGCTTCAGATTGAACGAAATAGCAGATATAACGCCAATAAAACGGTTAAAAAAATTTACAATGCCTTCTAAATGACAACATAAAGCAACCTCAGAGGAACAGCCCTGACTACGACAAATTATTCAAATTAGGTCCATTACTGACTATGATAAACGAAGCTTGCGAAAATAACGCTGAGGAGTCTTCTTCTCGGAGTATTGATGAGACAATGATACTTTTCAAAAGCCGCTCATCGCTAAAACAGTATATGCCACTGAAACCTGTGAAACGCGGCTACAAGGTTTGGTGTCGGTGTCGTGTTTCTTTTTGATGTTTTACACTGGTAAAACTGAAAATCCTGTAGAAGAACTAGGAGCTAATGTGGTAAAGACGTTGACTGAAAAACTTATAGCTAAAGAATCAAAGAATGTGCATGTCACATTTGACAACTTTTTTTGTGATTATAAATATTAGGATACTTTATGAAAATGGCATTTAGGCCACTAGTACAGTGCGCAAGCATAGATCTGATATGCCACTTCTTATAAAAGGTCCAAGGGGTAAGAAATTGAATCTGCAGAAGGGCGAGTTCAAGTGGAGAGTCAAGAATAATGTTTGTTTTGTTGTATGGCATCAGAAGAAAGAAGTGCTTTTGATGTCCAATGCTTTCCACACGAAAGTTGGTCAAACCACAGTAACAAGAACCCAGGAAAATATCGGTAAAACGCCCTCTCTTCACCAAAGAATACACGCAGAGAATAGGTGTGGTAGATAGATAGGACCAACTGAAGGGCATCTACACTGTCGGGCGAAGGAGCAAGAAGTGGTGGTTCCGAATTTTTTACTTTTTGATGGACGTCAGCATAACCAATGCGTTTATGCTGAGCAATAAAAATGACATAAAACTGTCGCATTTCGAATTCCGGTTAGCATTAGCAAGATGACTTCCACCATGGCCGATTATATAGTCAAGAAGAAAGTTGCCTTCGCAGACCCAACGCGCCAAAAAACTCTTCATGTAGTAACCGAAGAGCGGCGTTACACAAAGGGCTTTTTGTGAGTGAACAAAGCGTGTGTTGTTTTTTTTTATTTTAAAAAAAATTTTTGGGTTGGGACATTTTGTAACAATTTTTCGTAGAACCAATATTAGTTTTATTTTTCCACTTTAGATGAATTATATTCACATTATGAAACAGAATAAATGTATATCCAACGAAATCTATTTTATATAATAGGTACATAATTTTCAATTCGAACATATTATATTACTTACTCCTTTCTAGTTGTTAACTTGTCGTTGTGATATTCTTCAATAAATATATAATAAAGAAATCCTCAATAGAGTAAAAAAGAAAGCAGACATCAATTTACTAAATGAATAAAAAATTTATACATAGCTTCCGATGTCAGGGCTAGATCGGATATTAATTATTATATACTGCAACAGTGAATAAAATAAAAAGAAGGTAGAAAACTATAAATACAATAGCTTTATTGAACCGTTTGAGTGCCAAAGTCGCCTATACTTGACCAGCACCTGCGGACCCTGAGCGCCAACGACGTCTATAGTTGACAGAAAACCCGGCCCACAAAAATATGAAATATAGATATTGGAAAATTATTACTCGTATTTTAATTCTACACCTCAAAAAAGAATAACCCAGCAACGTGTGAGTATAAAAAACAAGTCTCCTAGAGCCACAAGTACTAAGAAACATTGAACTAAAAAAAATGGATTTTTATCTAAGCAAATACTATGTCCAGCTCGCCAAAGTCTTCTATAGTTGACCGCTAGTGTCGCACGCGGGAGGCATGGATTTCTTGAAAACTATCCAAAATTCAGCTCAAACGTGTTATTTTATTTTCTATTATTATTGATATTTCACATACATTCTGACAGATAAATTAATTTGAACTTACTAATCTCATCACATCATCCTTGGAGTTAATAGCCAATACAGCTGTAGCTATTTCATCTTGAGTTACAAAAGAAAATTCGAAAAAAGTAATAGTCAGAGGTTGCATAGAAGCAATGGTTTATGACCTAACAGAAGATTTATCATTGCTTTTAAATTTTAATACTTTGTGCCCAAAATGATTATTTTCTATTAGATAATCAAATTAACTTTCCGATATGAAGTTCGATCATTATTAGAGAATTGCTTTCATTACATACATAATAATAGTTAAGGTGCACGATGTACGCGAATAATTTGTATAAATTGTATTGGAAAAAAATTAGATTATTGCGGTATCGTTAGAAATATTTGTAATCTTACGTAAAAAAATTGTCAGTTTATAACTTTATTTATAAAAAATCAAAAACTTTTTACGCCGCGAGAAAGTAGAAAAATACGTCTTTCTTGTAAGATATTTATCTGAAAACATTGAAACTACTGCGAATCGTTTGCAAATTAATTACCGATTCTGTAAATAATACCTTTATTGCGTTATTCGCTATAGGTAATGAGTAATAAATTAATTATTTTTTCGTCAACTTCTATACACCAATTCGGCCGGTTCGTGTACCATATTGTATAAATCGTATCGTAAAAAAATTAGATAGGTAATTGCGGAATCGTTAGAAATATTTGTAATCTCAAGTAAAAAAATTGTCAGTTTATAACTTTATTTATAAAAAATCAAAAACTTTTTACGCCGCGAGAAAGTAGAAAAATACGTTTTTATTTTAAGATATTGATCTGAGAATATTGAAACCACTGCGAATCGTTTGCAAATTAAGGCTTCCGTCCCGCTTTGCTATTTTACTTTTACAGCCATTAGAGGGGCACTCTCCCCCTAGCATAAATACGTTCGAGATCACAGCTGAAGGTTGCTCTACTTCATTAAATATATAACTTATTAATTTTTTTCCCAAAAATATTCCGTCGTGGTAGTATAATTTTTTACCTTTTTTATTTCATAAATGTCGTTTTTAGTAATGTTTATACGGTACGGTTGTAGGTTTAAAAAGAGTATATACAACCGAAGGAAAATAAAAACTGCCTCTTCATACAAAATTCGCCTTTACCTTGTACATTTTGTATGAAGAATCAGTCAATTTTTTTCTATTTTCTAATTTTTTTGTATTAAATGTGGTTCAGCTCTATGATTCCAGCTCCTCCCTTCATATCGGATGTGTATGATTTTTTGTTCAATCTGTGCATACAAATAACACTTGTACCTGTTTTTTTTTTATAAAGAGAAATCGTATAGGGAAGTAATTTAGAAGGCAGTTGATTAAAAAATCAAACGAAAAATAACTGAATACACATATACTTATTTATTTAGTTTGTTACATCATTAAAAGACCCACTTTTGAAAAATATAGATATTTGCAGCAAAAAAATCATGAAATTACAACTTTTTAAGCTCTTCACATAAGAAAATTAAAGCATTTCTAAAAAAAGTGACCAGATTAGATTATTGTAGCCCATATGTAAATAATGTAGTCTGAATACTTTTCTTGATATTGTTATAGTTTGTACATAGCAGAGGCTTTAATAAGACCTTTTACGCATGTAACCAAAACATAGGCATGTGTAACGCCTAATAGGGCTATTAATTTAAGCACCAAAATGAAGTTAAAAACTTATTTCACTTAAATAAATGTAAATTTTGTTTCACTTTTTTTTTTGAATTCTATAAAAATATTTGTTTTGCTGTAAATTTTGTGAGAACACTAATTTTAACAAGACTGGGCCCTTATTTACCGATTCTGTAAATATTTCCTTTATTGCGTTATTCGCTATAGATACTGAGTAACAAATTAATTATTTTTTCGTTTCTACTACTATACTATACTATACACCAATTCAAGTGGTTCGTGTACGATATTGTATAAATCGTATTGGAAAAATTAGATAATTGTGGAATCGTTAGAAATATTTGTAATCTTAAGTAAAAAAATTGTTAGTTTATAACTTTATTTATAAAAAATAAAAAACTTTTACGCCGCGAGAAAGTAGGAAAATACATTTTTCTTGTAAGATATTGGTCTGAAAACATTGAAACCACTGCGAACCGTTTGCAAGTTAATTACCGGTTCTGTAAATATTGCTTTTATTGCGTTATTCGCTATAGATACTGAGTAATAAATTAATTATTTTTTCAATTAATACAAATTATTCGCGAACATCGTGGAGTGACCAGACCTGTCGTCGCTTGCTATCATTTTATTACAAAAATATTAATGGAGATTACGTACTTAATGATTTCTTTGTTGATTTTAGATATACCCGATATAGTAAAAACATCTCATATCTCGTAACATTACTAAATAATTACATTATTATTATTCAGCTGCATCAAATATCTAAAATTGATTAGATTTCAAAAAATTAATCATCAAAAAATAAGACATAGAAAATGATAATAACATTAATAATATTTTTGCGATAAGTGATTTTATTTACATCAAAGAATCAACTGCTGCAGTATAAAACCCGTTTGTTATCCAGACTTTATTGAATAAATAAAAGAGATGTTATTATGGTAAGTGTAAATTTGTAGGTTATATATAACCTTCACTACTTTGAGACTTATCAAAGTTAGAATAAGATTGAAAATCAATACTCCCTGAAGAGGCCGTTGCACCAGCAGACCATCCGTGTACTGTACATACTTCCGAATCCACGATTCACTTGCACAAACCCACTTATTGTTGTTGTTGTAGTTGTTTTTTTCTCCAAACTCCGGTGGTGAACTGAAGCTGATACTAGTAGTCGGACCTTTCATTGAAAAAATTAAATACCTACTATATCGGTCTCTGCAGTTTGGTACAAGTGCAGAACGATAGGAACAGCTGAATCGAACCATATAGTGCGGAATATATGGTACACGAACCATCCGAATTGATGTAGAGTAGTTGACGATAAAATTATCAATTTATTACTCAGTATCCATAGCGAACAACGCAATAAAGGCAATATTTACAGAATCGGCAATTAATTTGCATTAAAAAAAACGATTCGCAGTGGTTTCATGTTCTCAGATCAATATCTTACAAGAAAAACAAAGTAGGGTAGGTAGTGGGCCACGCGAAACATCAACTCCGCATTTATTTTTGCCTAAAACTACTAAAATCATAGTTGAACCTTAAATATATACAAAATTATATACAAGACAGTGCAAATAACAAGAAAAAGTGTTATCTAGACGAAACTATTAGGGAAAGGTGCTTAAAAACGTCTTTAAAAGGTGTCGATAAAACTTTGTTTATAATAAATAGTACAGTGTTGTTCTTTCTTCTAACAACTTAAAAACAAACAGTGCAGTTCAAATAACAATTATTGACAGTGAAACAATATAAACAAAAAAAAACATAAACTAGTGTATTTACGTAACAGAAAAAGTGACTAAAATCATCGTTTCTCAATTCAAAACTTCAAATACCGTCTAACGTTTTTATAAAGTAGATAGCGTACATACAGAATAATTTCGTTAAGTTTCTTATCTAATTGGTGGCCTAGTGGCTTAATGTTCGGTATTGTCAAGTTAGCTGTTTGGCACGAGTTCGTATCCCGCATACAAGTTCTCTTTTTGTAACAGTTTTCGCTATGTATACTAGTTTCTCAAAACGTTTCGAATATTGAATTGAATGAGATTAAACATTGTCATTTAAGAAAATATAAATAACAGGCATTCAAAACAATGGAAAATACACAGGAAGAAATAACGCAATACATAACATTTAGAAAACATATTACCCAACTAAATA